TGTTTATATAGAATTCAAATTTAATATTACACGAATTATTTATAACTTTAAAAAGTTAAATTTAATTTAAACAAATAACAGCTAAATGCATTTCTAATTACTATTATTAAATATTTATAGTATAAGTACATCCCAATTAGGTTGGCACCTACTTTTATTATAATTTATAGTTCAAGTATATCCCAACTAACTGAGGCACCCTTTTATTTTTTCAATTTTTTTTTTTTAAATTTTTTTCATGAACTGCGGCCCGTGAAGATGCAACCTGCGAAGCCCGTGGATCACACCTCCGTGACCCGTGAACCGCCCGCTTGGGTCACGGGTCGGCCCGCGGTCTTGGGTTGATCCTAGCCGGTTTTCACGGGTCTAGCCGGCCCGTCCGTCTTGACACCTCTACGGGTAAGGACGGATAATTTATTATAATCAATAGTAAGGAATTACAAATGATCTCTTTGGACTAATAACTAATTGAACAATTGGTCAATTTAATATGTATTGTACACCACGTATTTATAATCAATGAATCCTTAACATATTAGGAGAATTAATATATAAAGAGTTTAATATAAAGTGAAGTCCCAAAATAATAGGTAAACCCAATAATGGAGAATTTGGGATGAAATAGGACTCAAATTCACCTTGTACTCCTTCAAGACATCTTCAAGTCTCCTATCAACTCTCAGTACTCCTTTAACAGTATTTCCAATCAAATACTCAGCAAGAATCCGGGTTACAACTCAATTCTAACAAACTGACACGAATTCCATTGCAAAGAATAAAACTTAACTCTTCAACTCCAACAAAATTCTCAAAATATAACACTCCACCGAATTACTCTACCTCTTCCACCATGCCCATCTGGACATACTCGGTAACTGTGAACTGAATCAAAGCACTGCTTAACAGAATAATTACCTTGGGTATCAAATTTGCTTGAATCACCACGAACAACAAAATCATCGAGTTCACAACTAACTCCATTTGAGTTAACAAATTTGCTCGTTATCTCTACAAGCAGCAAGATCACAATTCCTTACGTTTCTTTTCCTCCAGCGTCCAAACAAAAATCTGCCATAACAAAATCTAGTGTTGCAATCCAAAAGTGGAATTTCAAATTTCATACTTGTCATCCCTGAAACAATTAACCATGTTCAAATCTCACTTTAATAACCAATCTGGCCTACAAAGAACCGTCAAAACCTTGGCTCCGATATCATTTGTTGTAAAACAAATCATTTGCAATAACCCAATGATAAAACTAATACCACTTGTTATGAGTATTAAATCCAAAAAAATATGACTAGATTTACGTGGAAACCCAAATCCGGGCAAATCACGGGTAAAAGCGGAGAATTCACTATGATCAATAGTAAAGAGTAACAAAAGATCTCTTTAAACCAATAGCTAATTGGACAAATGGTCAATTTCAATATGTGTTATACACCACATATTTATAATCGAAGAATCCCTAACTAATTAGGAGAATTAATACATGAAGAGTTTAATATATGGTGAAGTCCCAATACAATGGTTAATACCAATAATGGAAAATTTGAAATGAAATAGGATTCAAATTCACCTCGGACTCTTTCATAACATCTTCAAATCTATTACCAACTTCCAATACTCCTCTAACAGTATTTCCAATCAAATACTCAACAAGAATTAGGATCATAATCCAATTCTAACACTATGTTCAAAGAGAACAATTTCTTGTAATTTACAAATAGAAAGGGTCATCCCTCCCAATTCTGATGGGCCTGCCAGCAGATATTCTCTCTCTTTTACTGATCCTTTTCTCATGTCATCGTACATTTGAATTGAATCAAAGTAAGAAAGATCCTCCTTTCACCTTTTGCTTTCTCAAAACAATCCACTTATAATGGACCCTAATTCCATGATTATTTTCTGTCTTTAATAATCAAGACAGTTGGCTACAGCTCTGTACTTAACTCAAACCTGTCCTGCATTTCATTTTCATAATATTCATACTCTCTTTCCACTGATTATTAAATACATCCATTCCTCTTTCTCTTCTACTAATTCTGGATAGTAGTCATCGAATACTTTCAGTTTTTGATCCCTTTTTAAAACCATTTTATATAAAAAAAAAATTTAGTATGGTAGACGGAATTATATGTTATCTTCTAAACTCTCCATCGTGTGCATACTGATAGAAGTAGGGACGGACTTGAACTCAATACCTTTGTCTACTATGATATTATGCTGAACCAACTCGTCCAAAAGTTTAAGTAAATAGAGAGGTGATGAATTTATTTATTTATTTTATACTTCACCCTCAACAAAGTTCTTAAATTACACAAATTTTCCATAAAAAAATATTTGTTTAAAATCAGTACATGCTTAAGTAACCTAAGCTTTCACACGCCATATAGATGAGGGGTCAACCTACAGCTGTGGGATTCAACTAGTATTTACGTTGATTACATATTGGCAATTGGTAATCTTATTTTTCTGGGACATCTTAGTTGATGAGAGATCGTTATCAACTTCTTTGCATTCACGAATAATCTTCATTGGTAAACAAAAATCTACGCATTTATAACTACGATAAAAAAGAAAAATTTAAACCTTACTCAGAACATGACTCACTTATGATACAACTATCTATGTTGAAACAGATAATTATTTCAATATAGAACATAAATTAAGTATCCTCTCTTATTTTCCGTGAATCGAAAAAATTTAAGCAATAAAACTTGCACTTCATAACATATTGATTAGCATGAATTTTCAGTTCTTGTTATTTTGTGATGCAGGAGTTGGGGAATAATTTCTTTAATTATAGCCTATATCTGGCAACTATATCCTCTATGGATTTTAGTTCAGCTACATGAAGCGGTTCCTGGGAAGAGATACAATAGATATGTCGAACTAGCCGAAGCAGCCTTTGGTGAGTTCCAATTACAGATGACAATTTCCAAAAACATAATGCCCATCCATCTTTTATTTGAGCCTTCTTATGAATCTCGTATGAAATTGTAGATTTTCACATTTTGTGGATTTCTGTGACGAGAAATCTGAATGGAAATATTGCTCGAAAATAAAAACCTAAGGTTTGTGGATATGGATGAGTGGAAGTGAAGATTGACATACAAGACACAAGGGTTAGATAATAATTTTATCGTTCTCTTGTAATTTCATCTGAATAATCGGGTATTTTTAATCGAAAGAGTCTATAATTCTGCTTACAAAAATAGGATATGTTTTTCCCTGTTGTGCACTTGAGGAAATCAAAAGTCATTGGAAAATGGTGTACTACCGCCGAAACTACAATCTCAGAACATTTTTTTCAATTTTACAACATGAATATTATATAGATTTCAGAATATGCAAAGAATATTTACTGTAACTTCTTGTTTTCAGGGGAGCGATTGGGGGTCTGGCTTGCTCTTTTCCCTACTGTTTACCTATCAGCGGGGACTGCAACGGCTTTGATTCTCGTGGGAGGGGAGACCATGAAACTATTCTTTCAGATAGTCTGCGGTCCACACTGTTCGTCTAATCCTCTGACGACTGTTGAGTGGTATTTGGTGTTTACATCCTTGTGCATCGTATTATCCCAGCTTCCGAACCTGAATTCAATTGCCGGACTCTCACTGGTAGGAGCGGTGACTGCCATTGCATACTCGACCATGGTGTGGTTGCTCTCTGTAAGCCAACCTAGACCACCCACAATTTCATACCAACCCATTTCACTGCCTTCGGCAACAGCCTCTGTGTTTTCTGTCTTAAACGCACTCGGTATCATAGCATTTGCATTTAGAGGCCACAATTTAGTCCTCGAAATTCAGGTTCTCTCTCTCTCTCTCTCTGCCTTCCTCTCACACATGCATAAAGACTCTCATTTACATTTACAACATGCTTGGTGAGGAGCACTTGACAGAGTTTTGTCTAGTACTGTATACCAAACATGCACTTATTATTTTTCTATGTTCTATGCATCTATAGAAATCGGGATATACTTCACCTGGAACTGAAGCAATTTTCTTACTATCATGACTGAAGAGTTCTTTGTGACATCTTTCAGGCAACAATGCCATCAACATTCAAGAATCCAGCTCATGTGCCAATGTGGAGGGGAGCAAAAGTTGCCTATTTCTTCATTGCCATGTGCTTATTCCCTGTTGCTATTGGAGGGTTTTGGGCTTATGGAAACCTTGTAAGTTTGATCACTTATCTGTCAGCAAAATATTATTAAAAGGAACATGATTCGAATTATAAGTATGAAGTAAAGCCATCACATTGACGATTATGACACTTACCCGTCATGTAAAAGTTTAGGAGAAATAAGGTTGAATAAAAAAATGTCCCAGAAATTTGTCATTCGTATTTTAGAATCGGCAAATCAAATGAAACTTTTGTGCCAATTTTGGCTTCTTCCCCCTCTGAACAACCTTGCTATGATAGTTCAGTTCCTGTTAGTATCCATGATACAAGTATATTAGTATCCATGATACAAGTCGAATCCTCGATGTGAACATATAAGAAAAATGAATGTCTCACTGCACACACCTCATCCCATATGCCCAACAAAATAAATAAAGAGTATTCTCTAAGATCCCTTTATACTCGACTTCTAAGCACACTTAACACAGTATCCTTTTTCTATTCCTTGCAGATGCCTTCGGGAGGAATTCTTAACGCGTTGTTTGGGTTTCATAGTCACGATATCTCGAGGGGCCTTCTTGCAATGACATTTCTGCTTGTTGTGTTTAACTGCTTGAGCAGTTTCCAGATATACTCAATGCCGGTTTTTGACAGTTTTGAAGCCAGTTATACAAGCCGTACCAATCGTCCTTGCTCGATTTGGGTGCGCTCCGGTTTCAGAGTTTTCTATGGATTTGTCAATTTACTTATAGGGGTGGCGCTCCCGTTCCTGTCAAGCCTTGCCGGTTTATTAGGAGGTCTCACCCTTCCGGTCACCTTCGCATACCCGTGCTTCATGTGGGTTCTTCTTAAAAAGCCAACAAAGTACAGCTTCAATTGGTACTTTAACTGGATTCTTGGTTGGTTGGGGATTGCATTTAGCTTGGCCTTCTCCATGGGAGGTATTTGGAGCATTGTAAACAGTGGGCTTAAGCTGAAATTTTTCAAGCCAAACTGACGAATGAAGTGATAAATTACCTCAGAAAGCGTGTGGTTTGGTAAAGTTCGATTAGACGGTTTTGGACAATATTAAAAAAAAAGAAGAAGTTAATATCTTGTCCTGTCTATCTCGTCTAGTACTGCATGCCAAACAGGTTTCCACTATAGTGTGTTTAAGCAGTATTATTTTATGGTTTTGATCCTGGCTAGCTGATTAAAAACTTCGAGATTTGGATTAACAAAAATTTGCATGAATGTTTTATTCCACCAGTTATTTATAGTTGCAATTTGTGTTTATTTTTTCCTTTTTTATTTTAATCAAAGCTCTACTAAATTATCTTGCTTCCTTCTGTAATTTCTGCAAATAATTTTCTTCATTCTAGTTTTATTACTGAAATTTGTTTTTACGTTTCTTCTCCTCCTCCTCCTCCTCCTCCTCCTCCTCCTGATGATGCTCCGATATTATTAGACATTGCTCCAATTGTTAGTCGAGTTTCTGACTCTTGATAATTGGAGCACCATTAATTTGTTTTTCAAGACGTGTTTGGTACGTTGGAGAACCTATATTTCTTAGTTATAATAGGATTATCTCATGTAGAAGACGAGCGTCACAGAAATGGAGCTTAAATTTTCTCGAGCTTTTACGTGGTATTCCTTGCGGGGACACTCATCTTAGCATGTAGAAAATGAAATTGTTGAGACTACATAGGTTTTTTTTCTAGTGTGTCATCTAATTGATCTTTGCATGGTGTAAGAAATGCCCAAGTTTCTTGAGTCACATGATAACGTACAAAGTGATAATCAAATCAAGATATGCTTTTATGTCGAGTAGGAACAAGTGGATCCAATAACGTCAAAGAAAGATTGGCTTATTGCCTTTTGAGGAATTGATACGCGAAAATCTTAAAGTAAACATGACGTTAGAGCTTCGTAAGACACTAATAAGTTTTCACTTCCCTCGAACGCCAAGAAATTGCATTTTTTGGGTTAATATTGTCTAGTACTCACTAATCCATCTTATTAAAAGTGCCATGGGGATTTAGCAAAAATTTGATTGCAATTGGATCAAATAATCCCAACAGTAACATGGTTAATTTCATTTATGGTCATTGAAATGTGAGATTTCAGAATTGTCGTGAAAGTATTTTTTATCCATGTATTCACTAAAGTTAATAATTGTTTCACTAATGGTCACAGAACCCCCCTTGGTATACAAAATGTTTTTACAGATGTTGTACAGACAACACACATGGTGGGGTTCACACAATTTTTTTTTAAATACATGTAGGGCCCGGCCCCTTGTGAGGGGCTGTAAGGGCCCTGTGAACAAATCTTGTGCACATGAGGATTTATTCAATTGTCACGTGGTTAGTATAAGTAAGGACAATAGAAGTTCCTAATTGCTAAAAGTGCAAATATCTTCTTAACATTCAAATCTTGGCACCATGTTCCTCAACTTTTCCTTAATATATAGCAGAATTGTATAATTAGAAGTTAATTAGGAATTGTATATCCTTAATTAGGGATGAGTAAAACCCGATCGAACCCACTAAAATCGTCCAAATCGAACTAACCCGACTAGTTTGGGTCCCTTTTTTTGTTGTTGTTTTTACATGAATTGGGTAGGTTGGTTGTGTAAGCGGGTCGGGTCGGGTCGGGTTATAGGTTAACTCATGAAAACCGAATGAACTCGCCAAATCCAACCCAACCTGACTCGACCCGACTATATTTATAAATTTTACAAGTGTTATGATGTTACTTGAAAACTTTTAGAATAACATTATAAGACTTGGATATAATGCATTTTACGAAAAATAATATAAGCAAACACACATTCAACACAACAATATTTTAATTGCCAAAAACATTTATTGGCTTCATATAATTTAATATCAATCTGTCCATATAACATTTCCAGACATGAAGTGTCAAAATAATTTAGATTTTTTGTTTATTGCAATTATAGACACCTAATATTATATAAGTCATGAGTCAATTATAAATCCGCTCAGCCCAACCCGTCTATTTTAGTTTTTGTTAACAAATTGTCCAAACCCAACCTAACTCAACTCAACTCAACCTAACGCAACCCAACCCAATTTAACTCAACTCAACTCAACTCAACTCAACCTAACCTAACCCAACACAACACAACACAACACAACCCAACCCAATCAATACTAGATTGAGTTGGATTGAGTTTCAACCTTTACACGGGTTGTGTTAGGTTAAATTATAATCAAACCAATTATATTGGGTTAGGTTTGGTTTGGGTTGAGACAAAACCGACCCAATCCAACCCATGCCCACCCTTTCCTTATTTATAATTAAGAATAAAAAAAATAAAATGGAATTAAAAAATAGTCAGCCCCTGTTTGGTGCACATTTTGAAGGTAAGAATGCATTTTTACTGTGATGTGATGGGGAATATGTGGTTGAAAAATAAGAAAAAATTATTTTACTTCCGAAGAGGGAAAATGCTAGTAGTTGGACGGATTATCGTCCTATCAGCATGTGTACGGTGTTTAATAAGCTTATCACAAAGCTGTTAAACAATAGATTGACTTCAGTTCTAAGTTGTATTATTTCTCCTCAACAGAGTGGATTTGTCCCCGATCGACCTGTTGTGGACAATGTTTTGTTGACCCAGGAGCTGATACACACGTTGGATAATAAAATGCGACGGTTTTTGACAGTTTTGAAGCCAGCTATACAAGCCGTACCAATCGTCCTTGCTCGATTTGGGTGCGCTCTGGTTTCAGAGTTTTCTACGGATTTGTCAATTTATTTATAGGGGTGGCACTCCCATTCCTGTCAAGCCTTGCCGGTTTACTAGGAGGTCTCACCCTTCCAGTCACCTTCGCATACCCATGCTTCATGTGGGTTCTCATTAAAAAGCCAACAAAGTACAGCTTCAATTGGTACTTCAATTGGATTCTTGGTTGGTTGGGGATTGCATTTAGCTTGGCATTCTCTATGGGGGGTATTTGGAGTATTGTTAACAGTGGACTTAAGCTAAAATTTTTCAAGCCAAACTGAGGAATGAAGTGATAAATTTCCTTGAAGGCGTGTTGTTTGGTAAATGGGATTGGATAGTTGTGGACAATATTAAAGAAGAAAACGAAGTTAATATCTTGTCTATTCTATTGTGTATATAGAATGCGTGGAAAGGGTTCTCTTTATAGTGTGTGTAAGCAATTATCGTTTAAGCTGATTAAAGCTTCCAGATTTGGATAAAGAAAAAAATGCATTAAGTTCTATTCTATAAATTTATAATGCATAGTTGCAATTTGTGTTCATTTTCCCCCCTTTTTTAATCCAAGCTCTACTCTATTTTGCTTCCTACTGTAATTTCTGAGAATAATTTTCCTCATTCTAGTTTTATTACAGAGTCAGTGTTTTTACAATCTATTTCATTATTCTTCGGACGATATGCTCCTATGTTCCAATTGGATCATCTGGACAAGCAATTCGACTATATCAACTGTACTTGAACAGTTAGATTCTGTGCTATTTCAGCTGCCATTGAATAAAGAATTATACATGAACGAACAGGCACTCTCAATACCATTGTAATAGCAGTTAGAATAAGTTCCTACTACAACCATCCCCACAGCATGCCAGTATCAACCGTAACAACAGATAATGGGTAAATTTTACCCACAGTCACCCAACTTTACCCATCACTTCGGAGCAATCACATCACTATACTTTTACGAGCAATTAGGTCACTTTGTTAGCCTTCTATTCAACCCCTTAACAGTGATGTGACAGTTAAAAGTAAGAAAATCTCCCTGAGTTTCCTTATTCAGCTAAGTAAATTTCAGCGGCAAGACAATTAAACACTTAACTTTAATTTCAAGGTTCTAAAAAAGCATGTTTAAATTCTCAATATTGTTTCAAGACCATTTAATAAGTAAAATAATGCATACCAATCAATTAAAAAATCGTATATTACTTTATAATTTATACAAATAGACAATTTTCAAGTTTCGAAATTAATCAATTTCAAAATTCTAATTAATTTTTATTTTGTTAAACTCATATAGCTATTACACACATACCCTTTTTATATATATATATATATATTAGAAGTGGACTTCCCAAAATGGGTACTATCAGGTCACATGAATTCAATAATATACGCATGTTAGCATTCCAAACTTCATTATCCTTTTAGGGCCTATTTGAAACATATTTTTCTCAAATATTTTTGGTATATTTATATATTTATTATATTATTTATTCTTGGCGATCAAACAACGGTTCTAATAAGTAGGAAGTGTCCAGTTGAAAACTTTGAAATTTTCTAATTTTTGAAAATTCAAAAACTGTCTAGTGGAAGAAATTATTTATTAATTATAGTATTTATGATTTAGTTGTTTGATATGTATTATTTATTTATATAATATTCTAAAAATTATTAAATAATATTGAAAATTGAAATATTTTGTTTTAGAACCTTGAAATTAATTTCATTGGTATGATTTCTCAACTTAAAAATATGATAGCATATAAATGCTCCTTTTCCATCCAAATAGCAGTTATATAAATCATGTTATATTTCTTTTGAACAAGTCTACTAAATGTTTTCAAAGTACTAAGGTCGTTTGAAGGCTAAAAAAAAACTAAGGTCATTTGAAGGCATATGTTTTTCCTGTTTTGTCCTCATATTCTTGGTTACACCACTCATTTATTTACCCAAAAAAATTTTAATATCTAGTTATTCATAGCAATAATATTTTAATATTTACTCTTCACTTTGAGAATTGGAAAAAAAGAATCAATTTGAACTATAACATAATCAAGCCACAGACAGCTAAATCATTAACTCTACACATTCATTTAAGACATTAGCCTCAACAGATTTCTGCTCTGGTTTTACTAACTGAATTTTTTATGTTGCAAAAATGTTTTTTTAAATATTGACCTTCTTCATTTGTTTGTTTAATTTTGAAATTGCATAAGCTTTAAATGGAAGTGTCGCAAAAGGAAAATCAAGTTTACATATATAATCGA